GGGCCAGCCAAATAGGTTAATCAGCCACTTGCAATCCTGGCATCTACCCCACTTCTAATCCAGCCACCTGCTAATAGATTGAAAAGGCAGTGGATGATGGCTCAAGGACTTTTGTTCCTGCCTTCCATGTGGGAAACCCTGCTGGAATCCCCAATTCCTGACTTCAGCCTGGATCAGACCTGGCATTTAGAGAGTGAACCAGCAGATGATTAAGTCTGTCTGTTTCTTTCTCCTTCTCTCTCTCTCTCTCTTCCCACCCTCCCTCTCCTTCTCAAATAAATAAATAAAACTTGAGGTGAAACAAATATGTAAAACTGGAATTTGGGGCCCAGCCCAGAGGCCTAGCAGCTAGTCCTCACCTTGAACACTGGGATCCCATTTGGGTACTGGTTCTAATCCCAATAATCCCACTTCCCATCCAGCTCCCTGCTTGTGGCCTGGGAAAGCAATCAAATATGGCACAAAGCCTTGGTACCCTGCACCTGCATGGGAGACCTGGAGGAAGTTCCTGGCTCCTGACTTTGGATCTGTGCTGCACGGGCTGTTGCGGTCACTTGTGGAATGAATCATCAGATGGACGATCTTCCTCTCTGTCTCTCCTCCTCTCTGTATATCTGACTTTGCAATAAAAATAAAAAATAAATCTTAAAAAAATAGAATTTGCGGGCCCGGCGAGGTGGCGCAAGTGGTTAAAGGTCCTCGCCTTGCACGCCCGGGATCCCATATGGGCACCGGTTCTAATCCCGGCAGCCCCGCTTCCCTTCCAGCTCCCTGCCTGTGGCCTGGGAAAGCAGTCGAGGACGGCCCAAAGGTTTGGGAACCTGCACCCGCGTGGGAGACCCGGAAGAGGTTCCTGGTTCCTGGCTTCAGTTTGGCATGGCATCGGCCGTTGCGCTCACTTGGGGAGTGAATCATTGGACGGAAGATCTTCCTCTCTGTCTCTCCTCTCTGTATATCTGCCTTTCCAATGAAAAAATAATAAAAATAAATCTTTAAAAAAAATAGAATTTGCAGGCAGAAAAAGACAGCATGCAATTTCTTTTTCTGTTTACCCTTTTGACACTATTTTCAGTTGCATGAGTTTGATTTTAGCTGTTTGTAATCAGCTAAGACTAATGTCACCATTGATTTCACACAGGAGGAAACCAATACTCAACAATATTACATGGCTCTTTTGTAAGACCTGAGAGTTAAAAGATGATACACCCAGTCCTTGTCTTGAAAAGTCAGGTAATTCATTCTTAGTAACATTGTGTTGGTACCAATGTGGCATTGATTGTCCAGCAAGAAAATAATTTGGCTAGAGTAAGATAAAGAAATCCACAAAATGGCATTGAGAAAAGAGTTACCACCATCAGCCTGGGGAAGGAAGCTGACTAGGGCTAAGTAAAGGAATTACTCATTGAAGATGAATGCCTGACAAGATGGGAACTCATCAATTTGTAATGGGACCAATAAGCACAGTTATATAATTCTTCCCAGTAGTGCTGGGAGAATCCTAAAGCAGTTGAGGATAGGCAAGATAGATGGAGTGGGAAGTAAGGAAATTTTGTTGGAAACTTGCAGTTTAAAAGCAAGTGAAGCCTGCCTTCATCCCTTGTGGGAACACACTTGGGGGAGGGGGAAGAAATTAGGAGTAAAAAGAAATAAAGTAAAAAGGAATAAAGGCGCCATAGCAAAGAGAACTGGCTAAAACAACACCACCTTCAGGAAAATGGCACCTGTAGATAGGCAAGGGCTGTGTGCACTGGAAGCACACTGCCTGAGAAGAAGAGGCCCTAACTAACTTGCCATAAGGTTCTGAGCTCAAAGTAAGTAGGTGAGATGGGGTACAAAAGAGATGCAGATGGGATAACCGGGTACCAACCTAGATGTGGAACAGGATCTCTGGAGAAGTAGGGCAAAGAAAAGCACATCAGTGGGCCCTTTCCTTCTTATCTGTCCACTCATGCCACCTCTGATTCAGATGCAAAATATCATTAAAAAGTCTTTCTTTGGGTTGGTGTTGTGCGTTAAACCAACACTTGTGAGGTGGGCATCCTATATGAGCACCTGTTCAAACGTGATTGTTCCACTTATGATGCAGCTGCCTGAAAATACACCTGCAAAAGCAGCAGAAGACAGTCCAAGCACATTGGCCTCTGTATTCACATGGAAGACCTGGATGAAGCTCCAGTTTCCCCAATTCATACTATTCCAGACCCAGTTACTGCAGCCTTTCGGAGAATGATCCAACCGGTGGAAAATCTCTTGCTCTCTGTCTCTCCCTCTCTCTGTCACTCTGTCTTTCAAATAAATAAACACAATGGGCTTTTTTTTTTAAGTCTTTAAAGAAACTGGAAGAAATTTTAAAATCTAAGCTTCTGTATTAGATGTAGACAACCCAGAATGAAAACCCCTCAGTCTTGCAATGGTTGCTAGGAAGGACATAACTCGAAGGTACTAGACTGAGTATTGTCAATCCGCAAAGCCCAGAGTAAACAACAGAGAAACTGGCCCTTGAACCAAATGTTAAGAAGCTATGTTTAGAATTAAAATAAAACATAGCTTGGGTAAATCCCTCACAGCAAGGACAAATGCAAGAGACAGGAGTGAAAATAAATGAAAGGGAACCAGACAGTAAGTTCCAAAATCGAATTGGCAGGAGTCCTAAAGTACACAGGGCAAAGAAGAGGCAAGAATGAGTGAGACTGTAATAAAAGATAATTCCTTGAGATCAAGTAAGACATACTTCTTTTTCTGGATTAAAATGATGTAAAAAGTGCAGGAACAGTGAATGAACCAAGCTCTATGGTAAAACTTCTACCCATGCATTCATTCAAACAGGAAATATCATGTTAATTTTGGCACCAAATTTTTTTTTCTTAATCCTGGCATAGTTTTTTCCCTAACACACACTCTCCATGAGCCTTTGGAAACAGGAATCATCTCAGTAACAGGAATGCAACTACTATGTAGGTAACAATACTGACTATTCCTGAGGAGCTCATGTGTTAGGGCTCGGCCAAAGTCCAGCAAAGAACTAAACAGATCATCTCAGAAAACGTTAAGCACTGTGAGGGAACTAAGGAGAGGTCAAATAACTGAAAGTAAATGGACAGAAAAGGTTCCACTCTCTTGTATGAAGAGGGACAAGCCTCTCTAAGAAGGTGAAATTAATTGACGAACATGTGTGATCTGTCACCTGTGAAATCAGCATGATAGTATCATCTGCCTTTTAGGACTGCCATGAGCTAATATAAATAAAGTACTGGGAGAATGCTTGGCTTGCAGTGAGTCAATAAGAGTGAGCTATGTATCATAACATCGGCACTAAACCATCTTGTTAAATTTTATGAAAGCCCAGAAAAGTATGTATAGCATGTTATATTTTAAATATAAAAAGGGAAATTAAAAATACCTATTTATACATAAAGAATCCCTGGGAGGATACTCGAGAAATCAATAAAAGTGATTACCTGGGAAATACAAATCAAAACCACATTAAGGTTCTACCTAACTCCAACGGGACTGGCTACATTCAGAACTCTGCTAATACCACTTGCTGGCATGGATGTAAGGAGACAAGTACCCTCCCTTCACTGTTGGTGGGAGTGTAGGTTAGTACAACCACTATGAAAGTCAGTAAAGAGAATGCTCAGACAACTGAAAATGGATCTACCCCCAGCTATCTCACTCATGGGAATATATCCAAAGGAAATCAAATCTCCATAGGAGAAAGTGACCTGCAACCCTATATTTATACTAGCCCAAACCGCAACAGCAAAGACATGAAAACAACCCAGATGCCCATCAAAAGAAGAGTGGATAAAGAAACTGTGATACAGATACTCTTGGAATATTACTCAGCCATTTAAAAAAGAGTGAAATTCAACCATTTGCAACATAATGGTCCTTACTGGAGACTATTATGCTCAGTGAAACCCAAAAGGATAAGTAACTTTGGTTCTCTGTGATATAAGACAATATTAATGCAAAATACAAAATAGATATATAGGTAAACATGTATATACATATATTTGCCTAGAGGAACTGTGTAATGGAGACTAGCATAGCAGGAAGTGAAGATATACTGCAGTATTCATCTCTACTCCCAAACAAAAGGAGGGCTCCCAATGAAGCTGTTAAATACACCTAGACAATAGGATGCTGGACTTTCCACCATTGTCTATCATGTCAGGATACAATTAAATAGTAGAATGATGGACTTATGGCTGTTGCTAAAGGACTCTATTATGGTAATAATATGGGGTAAAACAGTGGGAGGGAAGGAATGGAGGGTGCAGAGGGGAATCCCTGTGCCTATGGAACTGTATCATAAAGCATAATATTGGGGAAGAAAGTGGCTACCTGGGGGCATGTCTTCAGCTAGAGCATAGAAAGAGGTAGATGCTTGAAGGAAAACTGCATTCTATGTTTTTAAGCATCTATTCAAAATACTACATTAAAAACCTAACATGGGTCAGGCCTTTATTCTGGCAGTTAAGATGCCCACAACTCACATTGCAGTAGCTGGTTTCAGTCTCCAGTTCTAGCCTGACTTCCACTTCCAGGAATGTGCAACCTTGGTGGCAGAAGGTCACGGCACAAGTAGTCGGACCCACATCACGCAAGCTGACACCCACATCGAGTTCCTGACTCACTGCTTTGGCCCAGCCCGGCCCCAGCTATCATAAGCACTTGGCAACTGTGCCAACACAGGGGAACACACACTCTGTTTCTACCTCCTCCCTCTCTGCCTCTGAAATAAGCAACAACGGAAATATACACATCCTACAAAAACTAGAACAGAATCATTAGTCCAAATGTAATCCAAATTCCATGAGTGTCATCAAAGGGATGCAGAAGGAGGCGAGCTCCTGGCCCTGCCCTCCAGTTCTTGCCCCAGGAGAAGCAAAACAAGAGTCCCTGCACAGCAGGGCAGCAGGACCTGGTCTGAGCCCAGCGTGGAAACAGGACCCACCTCTCCCTTCCATCATGCTGGTGCTAAGGATACTTACCCTGTGGTATAGGGGATGTTTATGCCTCCTAGGTTAATACTTTCACATCCAACAATGAACAGGGTTGAGAAACACAATAAGGACACGCCACTGCAGATCATGGCAAGTTTTGCAGATTCCCGGGCACCAAGTTTCAGCTTTTTAATAATGTAGCCTCCTAGCACAATGCCCACACCAGCACTGGGGACAATGATAACACCTGAAGAGAAGAACAGGAGAGGGTTGAGGTCAATCAGTGTGCATAGCCGTTTACTGTTAAAGGTGACTCTGCTCCCACTGGCTCACTAGCAGTGAAGAATCAAAAAGCCTGATAATCTGTAAATCTTCAGTATTTAAGATTGGATTGTGTAATAACATCTTTAACATTCATAGCCAACAAATGAGCCATATCAAGATGACATGGAATACTTTTACAAAGCAATAAAATAAAAACAGCCCATTGGGAAAGAGAGCAAAAGTTGAATAGATCCTTCCTTGAACAGAAAGTCAAGGTGACCAATCAACACATGAAAATGAATAAACCTCATTACTAAGTGGCCACCATGAAATACCACAACACCCCAAGTGCCATGGAGAACAAGCGAAAATCGGGCGATACCACAGGACGGCAGAGATAAAGGCCTTGGGAGCTCTCTGCACAGGGATGAAGTGCACACTCAGCACTTGCTTGGAAAACTGATCTGGCAGAGCTCCAGGCCACAGGTCATCCCTGGAGAAACTCACAAATACGGACACCAGGAGAAGTTTAAAAGATGCCTGAACCATCACACCAGCCAGAAACAGAGTAATGTTCACGTTCATGAACAGATACATTCTAGGTACCATTTCCTATGGTGGAGTACTACAGTGCAGCAATAAAAAGGAAGCCACAGACTGCTATGTGAATGCATCATACCATGACAAAAGGCAACCAAGCCTACTTGACACAATTACAGTCAGATAAAGGTCAAGAACCTCTAAAACGAAGCTACAATAAGCTGTTCTGGCAAGAGTGCATATGCAGCCAGTTCCACTGAAGAAAACTCGGGAAGGAACTGCCACAAACACTAAGGTCATCGGCAAGCTGGTACCAGGGACCAATGTACAAGCTGCTCTGCTGCTGAAATACTCCACTCCATGACCCAGCTAAACAAGCATTGCCATGAAATGCAGGTGGGTGTCTCCCAAACTCATGTTAAACACAAACTGCAAGGCAGTGGGATGAGACACTGGGGCTTTGGGAAGCTGACCAAGTCATGAGACTCATGAGATGGTAGCTAGGCACAGGCCAGTGTCCTCATAAAGCAAGCCTGGGAGCTCCCTCACCCCTTCCCTGGCAATGGGAAGTCAGGCACCCATGAGCCAGCACAAGGAGTCTCAGCAGACAACACATCAACTAGAAACCTTGATCTTTGGCTTTTCTCTAAATTTGTGAAAACAAAGTTTAGCTATTTCTAACTCAGACCGTCTATGATAATTTTGTTACAGAAGCCAGGTTAAACTAAGATAGTTTGCACAAGTGTCTACTTTCTACTTACTTATTATCTTGGAATGTTGATTAATGCACTTCTGGGTTTCTTCTAATTCAGAGTGAAATCTAAAGAGCTGACACTCAACAGCTGAGACAATGCACCTAATGGTCCAACAAAGAGAGACTGCCACGCACAAACGAAATCCGTGCAAAAAGGCATGAGAAAGCAGAAGTGAGGGTCCAGAGCTTTCTAGAATATTGGGAGCAGGAGATACAAGGGACCTAGGGAAGAGCATAAAGGAATAGGGGAACCAAGAAAGACCACAGAAGCAAGCCAGGCTGTATCTCCGGGCAATGGGAAGCCACTGAGAACTCTGAGCCGGATTAGATAGGAAGGAAGCTGTATATTACGAAGATACTGATCATGTCTTACAAAAAAAGAAATATATTTATTTACTTGAAAGAGCAACAGAGAGGAGGGGAGAGGGAGGAAAAGAGAGAGGGACAGAATACTTCCATCTGCTAGCTCACTATTCACATGGCCACAACCACCAGGGCTGAAGCAGACCAAAGTCAGGAGCCAGGAACCCTACCCAGGTCTCCCACATGGTGCCAAAGACCCAGATACACCAGCAGGCAGTTGAACAGGAAGTGGAGCAGCCAGATTACAGTGGTGTTCTGAAATGGGATGCCGGCATCAGAAACGACGGTTTAAGCCACTATGACATAATGCCCGTCACACACAGACCCTTGGAGGGAGACACAGGATAGCGTAAATGAAATCCAAACTTGGGCCAGGGAGTGCTTATTACATAGTACAAAGGTCCTAGTGAGCCACAGTGAGGCTCTACCCTGACAACACAGGAACTCGGCAGCAGAGTGAGTACAAGGACACTGCATGACCCTGGAACATAAGAACAGCTGTGTGGGAGCAGCTCCATGGCTCCTTGTGGACCTGCTGAGCATGAAGGGCCTGCGAGTCATTCCTTCAGTTATGCCCATATGCTGACAGCCCAGGGATGAGCTCTGCTCGGGAACGCATAACCAGAAGCTGAACCCCTGGCCTGGGAAAAATGACCCCCAAGATAGCATGGAAAAAGAAGAAAAAGGGGCAAAAGTCAACATGTAGGAGAGAATCTCGACTAGTAAGGTATAAAAAAAGTAAGTCCACAAAACAAAGGAAAGAATAGCCCAAAAGCCAGAAGAAATCTTGGAAAGGAAAGTGGTCAAAGGGGGAAGAAATCTTGGGCTTTCGATTCAAAAAGATTGGAGTTCCAATCCCCACTTCATCCTTCTGTAATCATGGACAAGCCTCCCTGGCTTTCTAACCCCACTTCTCCTTCAGTGTCACCTTGGCATGAAGACCACCTGTGCTCTCTGTAAGCTGACACAGTCCCTAGTATATATAACACAATAAAAATTGTAGCCGTCATCATTCCCACTGTGCCATAGAAAGTCAAGGAAGGAAGTGGACAGAGTGTCAAGCGGCTTGGAGAAGCCCAATAAGAAAGACCGGAATGTGACAAGTGAGTCACAGGAGTTGGGCAGGTGCCATTTTAAGAACGTCACGAGGGAAGAAGGCAGACCGGCACGGGCCAAGTAATCAGTGTCAGAGATCTACAGAGTGGGAATTCAAAATGCTCGTTCTAGAATTTCGACTGTGGAAAGAAGCAGGGCAATGGCTTCAGAGTCAAGGAGGCCAATGCAGAGGCGGGCCATGGGATACCTAGGGGTCTGTTGGCTGGGATGCAAAGACCATGAGCTCATCATACACTGGGGAAAACAGAGGACCAAGGAGTGCAAGGCTGCACGCGCAGGGAAAAGCTTAGCCAATGGCCATGCAAGATCCCTGCGAAGCCAGGAGAACACGGGCTCGAGCAATGGCACAGAGAGGGGCTCAGCCCTGTCAGAACAGACACCTTCATCAGGGCTAGAACAAGGAATGGGTCATCAGGTGCAGTCTCAGCTCCACCGATCTTTAGATTTTCTATTTTTCTTTTATTTTGGAATCAATATATAATAGGTATTCCAACAGAACATTTGAAAAATAGGAAGTATGAAAGAGCAAAAAAAGCCTGGTTTACTTCCTGGCATATTTCACCGCAGCCTTTTCGCCCGAGGGACCTGACAGCATGCTGTAGATTGCCTGCTCATAGCTTTGGGTGGGGCTTCACCTCACTTCCGTATAACTGAAAGCAAAGCCCAGTTCTTACAAGAAATGGATATTGAGAATATTCACTGAAGCCAACAGTTGAAGTAGCCATGGTGAGAACATGAAGTGAGCACTCAGAATATGGGACTATTGGTTAAGGTTGGTGGGCACATCCCACGGGTCCCAAGGATATCAGACGCAGAACTCTGCAGCTGCGTTAGCACTTACGGCTGGATGGAGGCACCTGGTATGTTCACCAGACCACATAAGGAAACGGGGGGGAAGACTGGGTTCATTTACAGCTACATTTTTCCTGAGGCTTGATTCTGCCATCCTCACCAACATCCAATCAGGTCAGCAATGGGTCTTTTGCAGGTGAGGAAACCAACGGCTGAGAGCTGTGACTGGCCGCACCATGAGCAGTGCAGGAGGGAAAGGCCGGTGGTCCAGTCCACAGGACCACAGCTGCCCAGCAGAGCACAGAGATTCCAGGAGTAAATAGGCAAACTGAGCAGAGCCCTTGGGCAGCCTGAACTCGTGCATAAAGTCTCCTCCTCATCAAAGGAAACCACAGCATGTGGACACCATGATTACAGGCAAAGCTTTACGTTGGGGGGTGAAAACAGTCCATTAATAAAACTCTAGTTCCAATGGAGGAGCGCCAGAACGTTCGCCTGCTGCCACCCCTCCACCCTTCATCCGAATCCCCCGCATCTTCCAACTGCTGGGCCTGACCACCCATCCCATCACGCTAAACGCAGGTGCAGATGTCCTTCGTCAAGGGAGAGGACCCACTGTTGGGTCCGGCGGATGTTTAGATGCCCTGGGAAGAGCAAGGGAAGATCTGAGAGGCCGACAGGGGGATGTAAAGCCTCCTCCCTGGACCCTCTCCAAGGCCCTGATCCTAGGCAAACCGACTGGGGTAGTGTGAGGTTAACAAGTGAAGAGACTGAGATACACTTCTCCACCCTCCTGTACTCCCCAAAATTGGCCCCACACTCTTACATTCCAGGGCTCCCGTTGCCCTCACCCGCTATGAGGAATGAGGATGAGGGAAATAAAAAAGACAAAAACGGCTGTTCTGCCGCTTGCCGCGTCTGATTTAAGTCCTCATCCCTGGCTGCAACCCCTTCCGGGGGTCTCTGCGCCTCTGGGCTGGTTCCCATCCTCTCTTCCAGCTGCAGTCTGTCCTGCGGTCCCGAGTTCCCGCCCCTCTCGCCCTCTAGCGGCCGCATATGAGAAGCGCAGCGGATTAGCAAATGGGAAATAATGCGGCTGGTTGGTACCCAAGTATCCCTCCAGTGTGTGTATGAGCAGGCCTGAGTGTTGACAAACAAGGATCCGCTCTGCTCCGAGCCCAAAGGGCGTCGGGGTGGAGGCAGAGGTCTAAGAGACAAATCCAGGTAAGAGCGTGGGCTCTGTATCCAGAATCCCTGAAATTACCCAACCAGTTAAGACATGTGAAATTCTTAGAATACCATACTCCCCAGTATCCACTCAATAAATGTTGGTCATCATGCTCATCATGAATTATGAGCATCTTTATTATCTGTCTAATACTAATGATCTCAATACTTCTCAACATAACTTAGAATGC